AAGAGTTGACTCATTGGAAAAGACCCTGATGCTGGGAGGGATTGGGGGCAGGAGGAGAAGGGGACAACAGAGGATGAGATGGCTGGATGGCATCACCGACTCGATGGGCATGAGTTTGAGTCAACTCCGGGAGTTGGTGATGGACAGGGAGGCCTGGCGTGCTGCGATTCATGGGGTCATAGAGAGTCGGACATGACTGAGAGACTGAACTGAACTGAACATCCTGCACTGTAGCATCCCCTTGTGCCAAGTACAGTATGTATTTCTCATATTCATCCTTGAATGTACTTAGATAGTTTCCCCTTTCTTCTAGCAATAATTATTTATATTCACTCCTTTAAATTTGTGTGTTTATGTTTATAGCAGTATTACAGGAAAACCAAACCAAGAAGCATCCCCCACATGAAATTCCCTGAAAGAAGGCAATGGTCAACATATTGAGAGGGGGGAAGCATGAGCACTGATGCAGCGTCAAATGGGGAGTCTGGCCTCTCTACCCTGTTGAGTTGCTCACGATCATTTTCCCCCTTTCCTTATCTAGTTTTAACCTTTGTGAAGGAGGCCAAGAAGTCATATCATTGCACATTACTAACATGAACTCCTAGTAGAGGGGAAAGATGGAGGAATTATGGATAGTATGATTTAACTTGACAAATAAGAGATTATCAGAATATTAAATGTGTGTGCATAATTGTGAAGAGCTTATAAAATTTAAAAGCACGAAATCCAAACATCTGGGTAAACTCTGGTTCTCCCACTTACTAGCTGTGATCTGGAGTAAACTACTTAGACCCACTGTGCCTCAGTTTCCTCCTCACCTGTAAAATGGGATTAATGATAACACTTCATTGAATTACTGTGATGGTTAAATGAATTTAATACATGTCATGTGCTTGAAACAACACATCTGTAAGAGTACTATATAAGAGTTAGCTAAAACATTCTTCTTGGTAAGAAAATTTTGGCACACAGTCAAAAATACTCAGAGAAATTCTGCCTTTGAGGATTCAAGTTTGAATGGAAGTATTTAAATCTAATGTGAATTATCAAAGAACAGTGTTTATTTCACGGATATTAGAAGAGAATCTGATTCTTCTTGTTGGTTTAATTCTATATCCATTAATTCAATTACATAAACAAGTGGGTGTATTTCAGTACCAAACACATTTATGGTGTGTAATCATTTCCTAGAGAAGTCCCACCACTCCACAAAAAAATAAATAAATAAATAAAATAAAGATTTAACAGAATCAGAGCCTTTTTTTAAAAGATATGAGAATGTATGAAGAAATATTTTTGTTGATGTGACCTGGTTCAAATTAACAGCACTGGCATCCTTGAAGTAGAAGAAGGGCCATAAATAATGTGATACCCACCAAAGAAGTCATGTTGAAAAGGCAAGGTGGCTTGACTGTCAGCTAAGTGCCAGGCTACCTTGCCAGCCTGCTGTTTCTGTGCATTTAAGTTCCTAAGAAGAACCTAAAGGCCTTATTTATTTGTGTGTGGGTCTTCTGTTTAAGCTTCAGCCAAAGATACTATGCTGTCTTCTCCCTCTCATCCGTGAAACCATGGCTTCCTAATTTTCTGCGGTGATCCAGACCCCAGGAGCAGGGGCCAAATAAATTATCCAGATCCGCAAATTCTAGAATAGGATGTACAAGGGAATTACTGAATTATCAAAGCAACAGAGTGAATGGGATTGAGTTAGGAATTAGTGCAATTACATCAGAAATGTATTGTCTCTATGAAACATGCACTTCTGTAATATTCCCAATACTGTAAGAAATATTGGAACCTAATCTGAGGGAAGCAAAAATTGAAAGAAAAAAAAAAAACACCCTGATTTATCATGGTGGAATTACTCAAAAAATGCTATAGCTCTATCTGGAAAAATTATTAGAATTTTATTACTCTTTATTAGAAATATATCTCTTTATCAGAAATATAAAGATAGCTAACTTTCTTGAGGACTAATTTTAAACATGTTCATATTATTCTTAGATTATGTTTTTTCCACTAATTAAGTTGGGAGCATCTCAAAAGCAGAATTCTTGAAAAACAAAAACCAAACCAAACAAAAACAGTTTAAGTATACTCCCTGCTGGAATCAATGTACTTACAAAGAATTCTAAGATGTTAGGAGTGAATCTTGTGTGTGATTATTAAGTAGATGATAATTACAAAGCATAGGACTGAAGCCAAACTACTAGAGGAGCAGATTGGTCACAAAGTGAGTGTAGGCACAATAGACCATGAGAAACCTACCATTGTATTGTGCTGAGAAGTGGGAGTCCTATGGCCACAAGTCTCTTGCGTCAGCAGAGAAACTGGCTGAAATTCCTCAGAGTGAGGCTTGTTGGGAAAACTCACATGCAAGGGAAGGTGAAAGGCGGGGAGCCCGTCACTCTCCTCTTCTTCCACTTTCTGTCTGCTTGTCACCATGGCTACCTCTCCATCTGCTTCCCCATACGGAGAGGCTGGTCGCTTGGAAGACATCCTGGAAGGAACAAAAGAGGAGAAAATAATGAAACCTCCACATAAATCCTTAATGCCGTCATTGTGTGGTTAGGGGCCATTGTAACAGAAATGCCTTTTTGTGCTGGCAGAGAGCAGGAAACCATCCAAATACCACTGCAAAGCACACACAATCAGAAACAATGGCCAAGCAGGTAGCAACAGAACAGTGCTTGTTTGTTGTGAGAATAATACACTAATATAGCACTCTCTTGTATTCTGGCTTCTTAAACAAGAGAATTCACCTAAGAACACTGCATAATGAAAGACCATTCCATTTTAAAGGAAAGAAAAATACCCATCTCATTTTACACGTCGATAGACCTTATTGAAGACAGAACATCCATGAATAGCAAATACTGTTGGCAGTTAAAAGAAGGGAAATAACTAAAAGTTTTTTCACCAAAGAATAAACAAAGTAAATGAAAGACTGTCATTATAAAAAATTACATTAAAAGTAAGATCATTGTAAAATGTAGAAATATTGGTTATTGGCAAACCTCAGGTCATAGAACAAAAAGTTTGATATTTGTTTAAAGCTTATTAAGAACTGAAGAAATTTTACAATCACTGTTAATCCTCAAATATTTAAGGACTTTTCTCTCTCATATCCCCAAGTCACCCAATTTTGACTCTTAGTTCGAATATAAAATTTATAGGTAGCCAAAAAAAATGGTAAGAATATAAAAATATTTCAATTTTATTTCCACGGTTTCATGAAATATTTAGCTGTGAATTCTCAGACTTATTTTTTCCTTATAATACCTGAGCAAAGAAAAAATAAATTAAATAAGCATGTTTTGTTTTGACAAGCTAATGGCTATATGATAATACACTTAGATTTTTTTTTGTACTTGAGTCTGATTGAGAATGTTATCAGAGGTTAAAAATAAATGTCAAATATGTTTAGTGAAATATAAGATACATTTTCTTTTCTTTAAATTTTTCATGGAAGAAGAATAGAGTTAAAATTTTTAATTAAAAAAAAGGTCTGGTATTTACAACTTGATTTGACCTTGAAAAACACTCTAATTTTTGTTCAACAATTAGTGTTTACAAAATCATCCATTCTTTTTCTATACCACTGATACAGGAGACAGGAAAGTATGAACTAACTGCCACATCACTTCATTTATATGTATCACTGATTTTTAAATTTAAAATATACTACCAAATGAGAGGGCTCTAATCTTTGTTGAATGATGATATTCTTAGTGTTAGAAGTTTTGAAAGACAAGTGTATATATTGTCTGGATATATTCTCTGAAGATATAATAGCAGAGTAGAAAAAAATAAAGGCTGTGGAATCAGACAAACACAAAATAAAACACTGATTCTGCTGCTTACCAGCTGTGAGACTTACTTTAATCTCTATTTCAGTTTACTCATCTTTAAAATGAGATGTAATATCCACCTGTAATACTTTCAGAATGAACTATGTTCTGCATGAAAAATGGCTTACAGAGCATTTTGCTCAGAGCAGACGCTCAGTAAAAAATACTGCTGTTTATTTCACTACCTTTAATACTACAGTGTGACCCACCGCCCTCAAAAACACAAAAGCAATGGCAACAAGAACAAAAACTCAAAAATGACAATGCAGATTGCCTCCTAAGAGTTAAACTGTAAAATCAACACTGGATATGATACACAGTCTCCAATAGAGAAATGCTCCCTGGTTAGTCATACTTGATAATAAACTGATCAAATGTGTTATCAAGTGTTAAAGAAAAAAATATTATTGGCAGAAGTCTTGATCAGCAGAAGAACAGAGAAAAGAAAGGAAATAGTAGTGGTTACCAAGCACTGTTTAAAGGAGAAGCAGACTGGGCCAGCACATTTCAGGTATCTTTAACTATTTCTGGTCTCATTACTAAGGTTTACCCCAGGTATACTCTAAGTATGTAGAAAGAACAAGGGCCTGGGATTAACACTTAGAAAAGACTGAGTCTCATTAAAGTGGTGAAGTGAAAGTCGTTCAGTCGTGTCTGACTCTGTGACCCCAGGGACTATACAATCCATGTACTTCTCCAGGCCAGAAAACTGGAGTGCGTAGCCTTTCCCTTCTCCAGGGGATCTTCCCAACCCAGGGATCAAACCCGGGTCTCCCACATTGCAGGGGGATTCTTTACCAGCTAAGCCACAAGGGAAGCACAAGAATATTGGAGTGGTTAGTCTATCCCTTCTCCAGTGGATCTTCCCGACCTAGGAATCAAAGCCGTTTCTCCTTCTTTGCAGGCGGATTCTTTACCAACTGAGCTATGAGGGAAGCTCTTAGTCTCACTGGGGACACTTAATCTATCCCCAAATTGACAGATTAAACTTTATATGATAACTTAACACTAGAGATATTTAACTCCCACTGTATTGTTTCTATGTTACTCAAGTAAACTTTTTTTAAAAAAATCATTTACTTTTAATTGAAGGATAATTGATTTACAATATTATATTTGGTTTCTGCCATACATCAACATGAATCAGCCATGGGGATACGTAGCTCCTTCCCTCTCGACCCTCCCTCCCACCTCCCACCTCATCCCACCCCTCTAGGTTGTCACAGAGCACCAGATTTGAGCTCCCTGTGTCCAAGCAAACTTCTGATTCCCATAAAGGGAATGAGGTGACAGAACATACTTAAATACACAAAGTCTTTGACAAGTGATTTATCACATTAAATCAATAAAGAGATTTTTATTTCTTGGTTTCACATGAAACTTGACTACAATTTTATTCATTTATTATACAAATTATATTATTTATGGTCTGTGTGGGATTACTATTCTTACTGGAATTAACAAACTGGTATTTTGGTGCCTACCCCAGTCTTAAATACAGTCAGTCTCTTAACTGTCTGAAAATTTCAGGCTATTAGCAAGAGTCAGTTTCTGGGTTATCAAAAAGAAAACTATATCAGATGGCTTATTTAGTGGCCAGCTGGCTAGTTAATACAATTCTATGACTTTCAGAAGGCATTACCTTTTTGCTGACTTCTACTTTATTAATATCATTATTAATAATGACTATGAAAATTAAAAGTCTTAAAGTAGATAAAAAAGGTATATAAAATAGAGATAGTTAAGATACTGCTATTCTCAAAACTTCTAGTTCTCTCAATATCTAAACTATTTTTCCACCTAATTGGACAACAGTCTCTCCACATACATATCATGTTATAGAGAAAAAATTATAAGGTCTAAAATACCGAGGCATCATGGTGCTAAAAATCAACTGATTCTAAAATATTATATATTTTAGGTTTATTTCAATTCCATTTTTAGAGACTTATAGAATGTTCTTAAATGTGTTGGACTTATAAGAGTATTGTTATGAAGCTCAGGTAAAAGATTTCTTAAAGATGTTTTAAAGTACTAGAATAATAATGACTATGGTTATAGTTTAGTAATAGGCTGGAAAACGAGACAGAAGCAAAACAAAATACACAAATTATGTTAAGAGTTAATAGTCTGTTGGTTGTACTATGTGTTTGACTCTTGTAGTTCTAAAACTACTGATTACAAAATAACCAATACCACTAAATTCTTGAATTTTTTCGTCTACCAAAGGGTTTTATTTTGGATAGATTAAAGTCTCAATTTTGAAAAAATCATTAAGGTGGCATTGAAAATTTCCATGTGTTGTCCATCTGGGATATGTAGGATTCCAATCCTTCAGCTTGCACTACATGTCTATGTTACAGTACAAGAACACCTTAGAATAACTTGAGGATCTAGGCTGGGGCATGCTCTTCTATATTCATTCAGAGATGCTTTTTGTCATTCCTGTGGTAAGTGCGAGATGGACAAGGAACAAAACTCAGACTTCAGAGAAAGTGACATGAGACTAACAATTATAATCAAGTGTAATACTAACTTCTGGAGTTAGTTTATAACTATACAGTTCATTTATAACTATAACAATGACTATTACAGTTCATAAAGTAGTCTTTAACTCACTTCCTTGTGTGTGGACAAGAAAATCTTCTCCAAAGAAGTGATGTCTAATTCCAGGACAGAAAGGAATCTTTATATCATCAACCCTTTACTCACTGCTTACTATGTATATGACTATTATCTAATGGGGATAAAAAAATGCAACTCAGGGTCTCTGCTTTAAAAAATTTATGAACTGTTTGTTGTTCAGTTGCCAAGTTGTGTCCAATTTTTTGCAACCCCATGGACTGAGGCATGCCAGGCTTCCCTCTCCTTCACTATCTTCCAGAGTTTGCTCAAACTCACATTCTCAATTTTGAATACACATTGGAATTACATCTGTTCAGTTCAGTTCAGTTCAGTCACTCAGCCGTGTCCGAGTCTTTGTGACCCCATGAACCATAGCACGCCAGGCCTCTCTGTCCATCACCAACTCCCAGAGTTTAGCCAAACCCATGTCCATTGAGTCAGTGATGCCATCCAACCATCTCATCTGCTGTTGTCCCCTTCTCCTCCGGCCCTCAATCTTTCCTAGCATCAGGGTCTTTTCAAATGAGTCAGCTCTTCGCATCAGGTGGCTGAAGTAGTGGAGTTTCAGCTTCAACATCAGTCCTTCCAATGAACACCCAGGACTGATCTCCTTTAGGATGGACTGGTTGGATCTCCTTGCAGTCCAAGGGACTCTCAAGAGTCTTCTCCAACACCACAGTTCAAAAGCATCAATTCTTCGGCACTCAGCTTTCTTTATAGTCCAACTCTCACATCCACACATGACCATTGGTAAAACCATAGCCTTGACTAGACAGACCTTTGTTGACAAAGTAATGTCTCTGCTTTTTAGTATGCTGTCTAGGTCGGTCATAACTTTCCTTCCAAGGAGTAAGCATCTTTTAATTTCATGGCTGCAATCACCATCTGCAGTGATTTACAAGGAGAGGTATAAAAACTACTGCTGCCTGAGTCTCACTGCCTGATATTCTGATGCTATTGGTTTTGGAATGCACACAGCTTATCAGAAATTTCTAAGGCTTCCAGGTGATTCTAATGTGCAGTT